GTAAAACATAAAACAACATATATAACACTAAAAAAACATAATAAAATTTGGACTCACATAACTACTATGGTCCCCACCTCCTATCTAACAACTAACATAAAACATCTACTCAGAAAAACATCATAAAACTAATTAATCTTCAACAATCACCACAAGCATGGTTTGGTTTTTTTAGTACTGTGGTGCAAGATTTTGGCTTATTAGCCAACCCATTAAATTGTTTTGTCACAACCAATCCACAACACACATTCCCACCAATCCAGTGTTTCATGAAAGAACTAAACATATTGAATTTAATTGCCATTTTGTGAGAGAGAAAGTAACAAGTGGAGATATTGTTAACCCCTAATGTTAAATCGAAAGACCAAGTAACTGATATTTTTACCAAAAGTTTAGGACATTCAAGGATGGATTATATTTGTAACAAGCTGATATATATGCTCCAGCTTGAGAGGGAATGTTAGATTAGTTGATAGGGGCATAATTGTCTTCTCCCTTGTTATTTTCCTCTCTTATATCTGTTGTAACTTATCTAGGGGCATTATTGTAACTTCAGTAATCAATATAACGTTAATACAAGTTGGGTCAACACTGAGGAGAGTTGGTTCAACTTCTCCTTGCTTAACTTCCCTCTTTTCTTCTATTCCTCTTCTCTATCTTTCCTCTACTTCTTTCTTTTGCTTCTTTTCCTCTTTTTTCTTTTATTTTCTCTCTTTACTAAAGTTGGAACATATATCTATATCTATATGTGTGTGTGTCATCATCATCATCTGCCATACCATTGTTAAGTTTGGCGCTTAAATCATTCCTTATTACTTTTATCCATGTCCATTTGGTCTACCCCTTGTCTTTGTAGCCCCTTCAACTTGTAACAAATCACTTCTTACCGGTGTTGTTGATGGTCTTCTATGCACACGATCAATCCATCTTAGTCTACTTTCTCTCATTTTATCAACTATTGGAATTATTCCTTTGTTCCTAAGAATGACTTCATTTCCGATCCTATCCTTTCTAATTTTTCCGTTCATCAATCTCAGCATACACATTTCTGCTACACTCATTTTCTAGACACTTTGTTTCTTGACTACCCAACACTCTGCTCCATACAACATAGTTGACCTTACAACTATTTTATAGAATTTTCCTTTTAATCTAAGTGGTATTCGCCATCACATAAAACTCCAAATGCATCCCTCCATTTTGTCCATGCTGCGCTAATTCTATGGACAACATCCTTTCTTTTGATCAATAACACTTTCATTAATTCATCAGTAGAAAATTTACAAGTGGAAGACAAACACACCTATCTTCACAAAGAACTTCAAGAAAGGAAAAAAGAAAATACAAAGATACAAAGACACTAACGTTACA